AGAGGAGGAGGAGGAGGAAGAGGAGGAGGAGGAGGAGGAGCAGTAGCAGGGGGAGGTGTTGGTTTGTTTTGTGACAAACTGTTCTGAGAAGTTCATGAAATGAAACTAAGGTTAAACTAATCATCTCGATCTTTTAATCCAATTAATGCAACTTTTTAAATGTCACTACTCAAAAAACTCATTACATTCACACACAAGTTATAATAGACTGAAAGCATCTGGCAGAGCCTGAACACCTGCAGAAGTTTAAAGCTGTTTTATTATTTTATTTTATTTTTTTCCATTTCATTACTTACCCTAAATCTTTATCCAAAACACTGACAGAGGATTTTTTTAAACTGGATATTTGATGCAACATGAATAATATTTATTATTGAATAATTGAATTATTATGAATATAATCATTATGATATATAGATATTTAAATCTTGTCAGAAAATGCATGTGGATGCTGAATGCTGAAATTAATTCAAAACCACACCTAAAAGAAATATAAAACAAATACAAAACCTAAAGACGCTGAGAGCTGACACACATAATTACTTGAAAAACTGGAAGCTAAACTGTATGAAGCATTACGTCCTTAAAGAGCTGAACGTTTTGACATTTGAACAGTTTGTGTAGCTGAAAGTTTGCAGAAGAAGTCGACATCAAAAAATGTACAGAACACGTACTACGAAGGGTGGTAGTAGTACTTGTGTTGCAGTAGTATGAATAAAGACATTTAAATCTTAAAAATTGGATTTAACCTCCACTTAATGGACAGTGTTGGTTTGCAACTAGAAATGTATTTCCTGCAGAAAATGCATGAATTCAAAACCATGGCGGAAAATGCAGAAATATAAAACAAATTGCTGGAAACATGAAAATCCAGGAGAAAGGGAAGCTGAACTGTTTAAGCTAAAGAAACCGAGAGCTGACATACAGTACTAGAAGCTAAACTGTAAAAGTGTCAAATGTGGAAGCTGAAATGAACTGAAAGGTTAAAAGAAGAAATGCTTCACACTTTAAAAAGCAAACAAAGTGAAAACAATACAAGCATAAGCGTCCTTAAAGAGTTGAACGTTTCAATGTTTGAAAGGTTTCTGTAGCTGAAGAAGTCATTGGGCCTGTCCCATTATATGTGCTTGATCACACTTACGCACTTGGACACTTGTGCGCAAGTGTATCCCATTTCTACGACGACCAAAAGTGCAGTGCGCTTGATTTGTACTTTACCCACACTTACTGTAAGACCGCACCTGAGCGGTATTTGGCCAAGTATAAATCCCACAATGCATCACCAACTGGTGGAGTTCCGCCAATAAACTAAAGAAGGAGAAGCTGGTGAAGTCTGCCCACTATAGTTCAGTGAGTCTGCCATCATCGGGATCTCGACTGAGATGCTGCCGAAAATGTTTTATAAATCTAACTCTATGTCATAGTCCCGTTCATATCATAGCGTCATGATGGTACATGTTAGGAAGCTTTGTTACTGTGTCTGTGGTGAGGAAATTCACATCAAGCTTTGCCCTGGAGTTATTTACTAACCACAGAAGTTATCTGAAATAGGGACCACGGAACAAACGCTCCAATTCATTAAGTTAAGAACGGAAAACGATTACCTGTTTACCGGGGCTAAAAATACTGCAGCTGATGGATACAGGTGAGTAGTTTGCTCCATCATTTCTTTTGACTGATGTCTTTATTTTGAACATGACAAATATTACAAAACAGTAGTTAACTTATTTAACCCTACCCCTTTTATTCACTAATTAATAATCTTTAACTTTACTTTAGATATCCAACGAAGTGTTATATATGCCAGCAAATTAACTGACTTCCTTAAATGCATGTTATAGAAATATCATGAACTGTTCATGTACCAACATGAAAATATACTCATATATCCATATACATAAATACACCAGCTCAACATAAATCACAGCTGCAGATCCCTGCTGATTATCCACACCTTTTCTCATCCCTACAAGAAAATTATTTCTTTACACCCTTTTCTAAACTGGATCATGTTCGGATAATGTTTTTGTTCGCGGAGAATAACATCCAATGCGCAATGCAAGGGGCGGTGTCAAGTCTGTCCCAATTTCGTTTAAATATCCCCGCTTACTTGGCCACTTAATACGCGCTTGAACACTATAGGCAAATGTACGTTCCAAGTGGCAAAACGTCACCAAAGTTTGTGCGTAACCAAGCGCACTCAGCAAAGTGTGGAAAAATGGGACAGCCCCATTGTTAAAAAAATGTACAGAAGTACTATGAATAGTAGCAACAGCAGTAGTTGTGTTAGTAGCAGAGATAGTAGCAGTAGTAGTAGTAGAAGAGGCAGTAGTAGTAATAGTACAAGAAGTAGTAGTTCTACTAATACCAGTAGTAGCAGTAGTCATAGTTCTACTAGTACTGCAATGCTACTAGTTGTAGTAGTAATAATAGCAGCAGTAGTAGTGCTAGAAGCAGAAGAAGAGGCAGTAGTTCTTTTACTACCAGTAGTAGTACTAATGGTCGAAGATGTTGTAGTTCTACTATTACCAGTAGTAGCAGCTCTACTAGTACTGCAACGCTACTAGTTGTAGTAGTAATAGCAGCAGCAGTAGTAGTGCTAGAAGTAGTAGTAGTAGTCGTAGTGGAAGTAGTGGTTCTACTACTACTACCAGCAGAAGTTGAACAGCAGTAGTAGTGCAGGAAGTAGTACTTCTTCTACTACTACTCCTACCAGGAGTGGTCGAAGAAGAAGTTGTTCTGCTACCACCAGCAGTAAGAGTAGTAGTAACTCTACTAACACTACTATGCTACTGGTTGTAGTAGTTATAATAGCAACAATGGTAGCATTAAAAGTAGTAGCAGTTGTAGCAGCAGTAGTCGTACTAGAAGTAGTAGTAGTAATACACATGGTAGGGGTAATGGTTGTAGTAATAGTACCACCACTAGCATTAGCGGGAGTAGTTGTAGCAGTGGCAGCAGCAGCAGCAGAAATTGTAGTCGTCATAGAAGTAGCAGTTAAAGCAGTAGTTGTAGTACTTGTAGTAGTTGAAATTTATCTTTGAAATTTCGACTTCCCAGTGCAAACAAACGCATCATAATCCACAATAGCTTCCTCTGTTTTGGACTCTCCGCCCCCTCAAAGGTTGACACCATCGAGACAGTCTGCTTTTGGTCAAATTTACCAAAACAAAACTTTATTTCGACGCAAAGTTTCTCCATTTTACATCCTGGTGTGTCCTGGGCTTTACCCTGCTCCATCCCTCCCTGTTACTTTACTCCTTGTCTACATTTCTTTCCTCCTGTCCTCCTCTACTCACCTCCTCTACTCACCTCCTCTTTCTCTCCTGTCTCTTGTGTTACCACGGTAACAGGGCAAAAGGGGTGGAGCATAGATTATTAACTAAAATGATGTCATTTCGATCTGCACACTGACCCTTGAAGGAAGAGAGGGTAAGCGAGTGTGCGTTGTGTGTGTGTGTTTCCTTTAAGGATGACTCTGTCAAGGAGACAAGAAGGCGAAAAGGCCAATTTAAGAGTGTGTGTGTGTGTGTGTGTGTGTGTGTGTCTAGTTAGCTAACTCAGTGTGGTTCAGAGCCTCATGAATTAGCCATGACAGGCTGACAGATGCCTGGGAAGCAGTTTAACACACACACACACACACACACACACACACACACACACACACACACACACCATTACCACCAACTTTCTCTGATGACTGGAGCTGATAAATCACACACACATCCAGGTATACCAGTAAATGACTGTGTGTGTGTGTGTGTGTGTGTGTGTGTGTGTGTGTGTGCCCTTTAATTATGATAAACTACCGTTATATGAAGTCAGTTTGTCAGATTAAAGTAAAAGTCAGAGACTCAATAAAATCAGAAACTTTTAAACTCACTCAGACGTTTACATTCAAACAACGTCAGGACAAGACGAGGCTGGACTACTAACTGAGCAACATGAACCAAGATTCCAAGTCCAAGTGGATGTTTGTGCCAAATTTTAAGAAATTCCCTCAAAGTGTCCTTGAGATATCATGTTCACAAGAATGAGACAGATGAGGTCACAGTGTCTTTGACCTTTCAGCACCAAAGACTAATCAGTTCATTGTTCAGTCCAAGTGGACCTTTGTGCCAAATTTTTCAGAAATTCCCTCAAAGTGTTCTTGAGATATCATGTTCACAAGAATGAGACAGATGAGGTCACAGTGTCTCTGACCTTTGACCGCAAAATCTAATCAGTTCATTGTTTATTCCAAGTAGACGTTTGTGCCAAATTAATAGAAACTCTGTCAAAGCCTTCTTGAGATACTGCCTTCACGAGAATGAGACAGATGCAAGGTCACAGTGTCTTTGACCTTTCAGCACCAAAGACTAATCAGTTCATTGTTCAGTCCAAGTGGACCTTTGTGCCAAATTTTAAGAAATTCCCTCAAGGTGTTCTTGAGGTATCACATTCACAAGAGTGAGACAGACAAGGTCATAGTGTCTTTGACCTTTGACTGCCAAAATCTAACCACTTCATTGCTGAGTCCAAGTGGACGTTTGTGCCAAATTTTAAGAAATTCCCTCACAGCATTCTTGAGATATGATGTTCACAGGAATGGGACGGAATGACAACCCGAAAACATAATGGCTCCGGCCGCGGCTATCACCAGCGCTGAGGCATAAAAACAAACTCCACATGATGATGTACGAAGTGCCGGCAGCTAAAACTGTTTGTTGTAATAAGTGAATTTTGCTGATCATTATTCAACAGAGCTACGTGTTGCGATCAGACACAAAATCATTTACAGCAGGAGAACAAAAGTAGATGAAATTGGAGTTAATGAGGAATAAATGATTAAAGCTGCTCAGTAACTAAAGTTCTGTAACTTTCCAAACAGCTGCTGAGAGAAAGATTATACTGATGATGACTCACTTCGTAAAACAGACTGAAGAGTGAAAGAGGAGTTTCCTGTACTGAAGCCACACACACACACACACACACACACACACTAATGTTCATGAACAGACCTGACTCTCTCCTTCGGGTCTCCAAAGGACTCTCGGAGTCGAGAGAAGTCGGGGTAGAAGTGGACGGACGGGGAGACGACCTCCAACAGACCCGACTGAATCTCTGCTGGAAAACTGAGACACACAGAAGATGTTTGATTATTAATTTATTATATATATATTATATCATATACATGACACGATGTCTTTACCTGTCATGACAATAAAGCTAATTGAAACTAAGAGAATCAGACGACAGCGTGCAACAACATAAACGTCACTGTAATCACAACTCTCAGGGTGAGAAAGGAAAACACATCTGACTTATAAAACAGAGACAGACATGTAGGAAAAAAGCTGTATTTAGAAAAGAATAGAAGGCTGACAAAGAAAGAAGGAGAGAGGAAAGAGTAGGAAATGGAAAGAGGGAGGAACAGCACGAGAGAGGCAGTAGGAAAAAGGAAGGATGAAGGGACTATCTGGAGGAGGCCGGGAAGATAGGGAGGATGAGAGAGAAGGGAAGGAAGATACAGGGAAGGAAAAGAGGGGGTAGAGAAGATGTGGGTGACAGGGTGAAATGAGAAGGAAGGGAAGAAAAGAGGGAGGTATGGGAGAAATGGAAAGAAGGAGATAAAGAAGTAAAGAAAGATGTAGAGAAGAAGAGGGCAAAAAGAAGTAGTAAGGATTGAGGAAGGAAAAAAGGGAGGGTAACAAATGAAGGATGAAGGAAAGGAAAAAGGAGACAAGAAGAGAAAGAGGTTAAAAGAAAAGAAGGGAAGGAAGAAGCGGGGCAAAGAAGGATAACATCAGAAAAGACGTTGACAAGAAACACCAGATAGAGTAGAGACAGACAGATGTATGAGGTGTGAATGAAATGAGAATGAAGAGAAAAAAGGAGATAAAGAAGGAGAGACTAGGTGAGGAAGGACGAAAGGGAAGGGACAGAAGAAAGAGGGTAGGAAAAACAAGGAGGACAAAGTAAAGAAAGAAGGATGAACACAAGGAAGGAAGAGGGAGGTAGGAAAGAGATGAAAGGAAGAACAGGAGGAGGTAGGAAAGAAAGGAAGGATGAAGCAGGACAAAGGAAAGGAAAATATGATTTAGAGAAGAAGAGGAGAGGATTTACAAGAAAAGGAGGAGGAGAAAGGGAAGGGAAGGAAAAACAAAGAGGAAAAGGGAACAGAAGGAAAGAGAGAGGAACAGACAGAAAGAAAAGATCGGGAAAATGAAGGATGACGTGAAGAACAGGAGGAAGTCGGACAAATGAGAAGGAAGTCAAAAGAATGATAACAACACAGGAAAAGAAGAACGATAAAGGAAAAGAAAAGACAGAAGACGTGAATTAAACAACAATTAAGGAAAGGGAAGAGAAAAAAGAGATAAAGAAGGAGAGAAAGGATGAGAACAAATTGTCAAGGAAACAAGGAAAAAAGGATGAGAAAGAAGGGTCAGGAAGGAAGAAAGAGGGTCGGAAAAGAGAGATGGATAAACACAAGTACAAAGACGTAGGTAGGAAAGAAGGATGAAAAAAGAGCAGAAGGAGATAGGAAGGAAGAGAAGGATAAAACACAATTTAGGAAAGGAAAAGAGGATGTAGAGAAGGAAAGATGAAGGAAGTATGAATGGAAATTGGACTGAAGGGAAGAAAAGAGAAAACAGAGATAAAGAGGGAAAGAACGTGAGAGGAAGGGAACAAGGATGAGAGGAAGGAAGGAAGAAAGAGGGTAGGAACGCAAGGATGATAAGCAAGGAAAGGAAAAGAAACAGGGAATGAAGAGGGAGGTAAAGAAGAGAAGAACAGCAGGAGGTAGGAGAGAAAAGAAGGATAAAGGAGAGTAAAACAGGAAGTAGAGAAGGAAAGATGGAGGTGAGAGGAGGGAATGTGAGCTAAATGGGAATGAAGGAGATGAAGGGGAATAAGGAGATTAAGTGGGGGAAGAAAGGGAAGGGAAACAAGGATGAGAGAGGGAAATAAAGCGGTAGAGAAGAAGAGAATGCAGTAGAGAAGGGATTAAGGATGTAGAGAAGGAAAGATGGAGAAAGGAAAGGAAGAAGGGGTGGAGAAGGAAAAATGAAACTTGATCTTTGAGTGTTTGTACAACAAAAGGTTCCTGCTGCTGACACAGTTCATCCTGTGTGTGTGTGTGTGTGTGTGTGTGTGTGTGTGTGTGATAAATTAGTCATGATTTAACATGCTGCACTTTGACTGCATGCCGTGAACAATGACACACACACACACACACACACACAGCTGTTCACGCAGCGGCGATCAAAGGCTGCCGTGTACGAGCCGACAACAAACGCAACACACACATACACCCACACACACACACACACACAGAGGGGACCGGAAGAATCCCCTCTCGGGTCTGTTGCCGTAGAAATGGCATCCCATCATGCAGGTGGACTTACAGGCGCTTCAGGTTGTCTGCTACACTGCTGGCATACTGCTGGTCAGCCTGAAGACACAAAAACACACACAGGGGAGACTAGTTTAGAGCCGTTATATTTACCATACACATACACACGCATGCACGCATGCACACACACATACATTCAGGTGTCAGTGTGACATCAGCAGAGGGAACAGGAGGTGATGGCGCTGCAGTCGACACACTCTGCTTTTTGATCCGTTCAAATAAGATTTAAAACTCTTCAAGAGCAGAACCAGTGAATGACTTCAGGTCAGCTGACGCGTGCTGACGCTGCGTTCAAGGACAGTGGTATATTTCATCGAGCTGACGAGTGTCAGTCTTCTGCCCTCAACAGACCAATGAGAGAGCAGCTTACTGTTGAGTCCAATGCAGCACGGAGGAAAAGCCCGCACTCAGACCAAAACTAACCCTGAGCCCTGAATTACAACTGTAACATGACTGATGCACACAGATGAATGCATGAACACAGATGAATGCATGAACACAGATGAATGCATGAACGCTCATCCCTCATCAACTGCTGGAAATCATGACACCAAAAGAACTTTATTGACGAGCCGTCACTGCATTTCTAGCAGAGATCTTGCCTCCAAAGTTGGGTGTCTTTTACTGAGCTGCCGTCCCAGCTGGGATTGTGCCACCAAAACTGGGTATTTAAGCTAAAACACGCTCTTTTCTGAACCATAATAAATTTTGTAGATTTTGTTCCTAAATATAACCACACGTTAACCACAGTGTTGTTGAAAAGTAAAGAAATGTAAAGTTTTGCTAGCGGCTGTTAAAGCAACTCTTACCTTTCTTGCATTTCACACAGCACTAAGAAAAAAATTGAACATCCACAACTCCCACCTCCCTCCAAAGTCCCATCCCCCCTCCTCAATTACGTCCTCATTACGTCTATGATAGACGTAGGCGTTGGCAAGGTAACATCAGATACATGGAAGTGAGTTTTAAAACTCAACCGGAGTCAATGATGACTGATGAGTTTTAGAATAAGGTTACAGTGCTAACATTAGATAGAAGCGTTAACGTTACTAGTAAGTGAAAACGCACAAGGAAGATAACGTTAATGTTTCAGAGGCTACGCTACAGTAGGCTAACGTTAGCCATTAGCAACTGGATGCTGTGTTGTCATATATAACGTTATATGTTATATCAGAAGCAAACTAAACATAGCGTTACCTGTCCTGCACAGTCAAACGCAACCCCGGAGTTTTGAAAACATACTAGTCGCTGTAGCATGGGTGTTGTTTTTTTGCCAAGCCATCACCGCATTTCAAGCAGGAATTGTGCCACCAAAACAGCGTGCTTTTTACTGAGCCGTTACTGCATGCAGAAGGGACTGTGGCACCAAAAGTGGTGTTTTTGACCTGCGTTTCCAGCAGGGATTGTGTACCAACACTAGGTATTTTAAGCCAGAACATGGTATTTTCCTAACTACGTATAACCAAGTGATGTTGTTCCTAAATATAACCACACATTAACCAAGGTGTTGTTCAAAGTAAAGAAATGTAAAGTTTTGCCATCTCTGATGACGGCATTCTGAACATACTAGTTGGCGTAGTACGGGTGTTGTTTATTTGTCAAGCCATCACTGCGTTTTAGGGCTGACCTTCGAATCCATTTATGGACATTCGAAGCTTCGGAGCTCAGAACGAATTTAATTCGAAGCATTCAACGACGACGAAAAACACAAACGAATAAACACTAATGGTCGGTGATAAGTAGTGTTTAACTTTTGATTGAACACTAAATTAAAACCCTCGGCGCATACTGCAGCACAATCAAACAGATGCGCAACTCAGAGCATCAGAAGTGTCTCTGACACCAGACTCAGAGCGGACCAGTGGAACTGGAAAATGCATATTTTACATTAATAAAATCTATTTTATCATTATTTTGAGTCACATTGTTGAAAGAATTTAGTCGTCTGTGTTCAAGCAGGATGATAGCAGGTCTCCATTGTGCATCGGGCTTTCTATTTCCTTGTCGGAGATTTTTCTTTTTTAATTACTACTTAGTTTTTCAAGTGATTTCCCAAATTTGTTGTTGAGTTGTGATATGTCAATTGCTTTTGGCAAATCTGGCACTCTGCTTTCTGGGGGTTGTCGGGGCATATTTTAAAGTGCAACCACACATCTGATGACCTCTTGGACATGTCTGCCAGCTCTGAGCGCGCTCGTTGTCAGTATCGGACTGGTGGCTGTTAGTGTTGCATTTAAGGCCTCCCCCCAAAAAACTGGGAAAAAAGCGCAGAAGCTTCGAATTTTTTTTTTCACAATCGAATCCTGTGCCATCGAACGAAGCTTCGAAGCTTCGAATTTTTGGGTCAGCCCTACTGCATTTCCACTGAAAGTGCGTCATTTTTACTGAGCCATTACTGCATGCAGGAGGCGTTGTACCATCAATAGTGGGTATATTTTGCGGGAACATCGCTGCCTTTCCAGCTGGCACCGTGCCACCATGACCAAGCCATTACTGCGTTTCCAGGAAGGATCATGCCACCAAAAGCTTTTTCTCTTTTTTTAACCAAGCCATGATTCTGTTTCCAGCGGGGATTGTGCCACCAAAAGCAGGTGTTTTTTAATGAGTCATAGCTACCATTCCAGCAGGGACTGTGTCCCAAAACTGGGTATTTTAAGCCAAAACATGCTCTATTCCCATCCATAACCAAGTGATTTTGTTTCCTAAATGTAACCACGTGTTAACAACAGTGTTGTTGAAAAGTAAATAAATGTTAAGTTTTGTGAACAGCTGTTAAATCTCTGATGACGGTATTGTGAACATACTCGTCGCTGTAGCAGGAGCCTTTAACCTGTAAGGCTGATAATCACTACTAACATAAATGGATGGTAATCTACCTGCAAACAGCCTCTCTGACTGAAATATACAAAATGTCAAATACACTCGGTTTCCAGTTTATTAGGTACACCAAACTAGAGCTACTGCAGTCTAATAAAACAGCCCTGCAGTAAATCGTCCTTGTTAAAACTTTTTAGAGACGAGTTAAAACTTTATGGTCCTTTTGGAGGATGTAGTTCGTAATAAATTCTGTTACACTGACAGGTGTTCCTAATATTTTGTCCACCCTGCCTCCCAGCCCAGACGTGGTTCCTCTGCAACAGACGGCGGATTCAATAAGACGCATGTTTTCTGTTTCGCATTCAACGCCAAACTTATGGCGTTCATTACCCACAGTGTTGTTGAAGCCATAACACACACACACACACACACACACACACACACACACACACACGGGAGACTGAGATCATCTGAATATTTTTGTTCCCTCTCGAACATCAACAACAACTTGAGCAATAGATGACATCAGAGTTCAGCCTCCCTCTCAGCCAATCACATCCCAGATGGAGTTCCCTTCTGGGATCCAATCATCTGGCACCGCGGGTCGCTGTGAGGTCACACATGTTTCCACCAGCCGAGCGGAGTCGAGCTCTGCAGAGAGTAGTGTGTGGTTTGTTTTGGCGTCCTGGAGGTGCCAGCTGGGTGGAGCTTACCGCAGAGCTCAGTGTTAATGAGGAGCAGACGCAGTGTAGAGCTGCTCCCTGATGATGCTTCTCCATGGTTTTTTTTTTTTTTTACTGTCACTATTTACCGGGAGCTTTTCTCTCTCTGAGTCTCGGAGGTTTCTGATGTCAACGCTGACAGTTCCTGTTTATTTCTGACCATTTTAACACAGAGATTTCTTTTCTCTGAAACAGCCCAAAACAAGGCTGAGACATTTTCCTGGTCGTGGATCAGTTTTGCACAGTGAGGTGGTTGTTTGGGTGACGAGCTGCAGGAGTTTGTTTCAGTTTGGTGGAAAGTTAAAGCTCCAGCTAACAGACTCAAGGAGGTTTCCATCAGATGCACATGAGCAAGCCAACTGAGAGAGAGCCGTTTGGTTTGAGGCGAAGGATGGGACTCATTTACAATGAATCATTTGTGTTTGTCTGTGTGGTTCATTTGGACCTGTCGGCAGTGGTGAAATGAAACTCAGTACATTCACTCAAGCACTGTACACAAGCACAAAGTCCAGGTACTTGTACTTTACTTGAGTCTTCTATATTCTGTAACTTTATAAGTTTACTCCACATCTCTGAGGTTAATATTGTACTTATACTCCACTACATTCATCTGACAGCTTTAAGCCTAGTTCACATTACACGATTTTCACCACGATTTTGACGTCGCAGAGGATCTTGAGAGCCACCTTGTTTCCATAGCCCTGGTTGCTTGTTTCTCTCCCAAGATCTGGCAACACTGACAAGCCGGCAAGCAACAACAACACGGGGAGCGCGTTGTGTTTGGACCCAGGATAATAAAGAATATCCATGCCTTTGCGATGTGTCGTCTCCAAGTTTGGTGACGCCACCGCGTTATCTGGGGCTCTGTCAGCGAGGGCTCGGTGGAGAAATCTTGTGGTGTGCACACACAGGTTGTAACGCAGTTGGCGAGTTGCCGCTGACAGAAACCCACGTCGCCAGGTATGAACAGAAGGATTACGATAGTCTCTGTGACGCAAAATCAGGGTGAAAATCGTGTAACGTGAACTAGGCTTTAGTTTGTTTTCAGATCACAGGTTTTCATCCCCCTCCTGTCCAGTGAAATCATGTCTCAGCTCAACCCAAATGTATTTAGAAAGCACTTTTAAAAACAACGCACATTGACCAAAGTGATGTACAAAGGGAATTAGTCGCTAAAAACACACACACGAGAGGCAGCACAACTGTCAGGTACACAGCTACACATGCACAGGTCAAAGAAAGCCTCGTCACGGGGACTCAAACCCTGATGAAAAGAAGAAGGTTTGGAGTCTGGACTTAAAAGAGTCAGCAGAGGGGGCAGATCTGATTGGGAGGGGGATGCTGTGCAAAGGCACGATCACCCCTGAGCTTGACGTAGGTGAGAGGAGGGGGGGTGAATGAAATGAGAAGAAGGGGAAGAAAAGACGGATGTATGGGAGGAATGGAAAGAAGGAGATAAAGAAGGACAGAAAGATGTTGAGAGGGAAAGGAACTGGCAGG